AAAAAAAAAAATCCGATTAGTAGGGCAGTTTCAATAATTAATACATTGCATATTGTCTTAGTGGTTATTCATTGTATAAGATGCAGACATGATATCCTGTTTATAAACACTATTGGAAGAAATCTTTCTATTCTTTTTTCTCTACCACCTTCTTTATTTATTTTGCTTTTATTTAATTTTATTTATTTATTTTTTGAGATAGGATCTTACTATGCAGTTTGGGCTGGCCTTGCACTCACTTTTGTAGCCTCCAGGCTGGTCTCGAACTCGCAGCGATCTTCCTGGCTCAACCGCCTGAGTGCTGGGATTATAGGTGTGTACCACCATGCCTAGTTCTTTTGTTTCTGTTTTGAGACAGGGTCTTCCCACATGGCTCAGATTGGTCTCAAGGTTGTGATCTTCCTGCTTTGTCCTCCTGAGCAGCTGAGATTACAGGCATGTGAGCCCACACCAGCTCGTATGTGGTTTCTGTTGCCCATGCATGTTTTCTAGGCCCAAGGACATCTTCGTAGTTGCCTAAGAGATTCTGACAGTTTCCCAGTGGCATCACTACCTACCCTGCCACACTACAGGACCAAGAGCAGAGCAGTTCCTCCACATCCCCAACAAACTTGCTTTAGTGGTTGTTGTAGGTGTGTGTGTGTGTGTGTGTGTGTGTGTGTGTTTGTCTTTTTGAGAGAGGGTCTCAGTGTGAAGTTCAGGCTGGGCTTGGGCTCACTTCGTAGCATAGGCTAGTCTCGATCTCTCAACAGTCCTCCTGCTCTGGCCTCCTGAGTGCTGGGATTACAGGTGTGTGCCATCACACCTGGCTGAGCTATTGTGGTTTTAATCATTCTTTGGGGAGGACATATTGTGTTTTATTTCTTTTATTTAATTTTATTTATTTTTGTGGGGTTTTTTGTTTTTTTTTCTTGAGAGCCTCCCTATATAGTCTAGGCTAGCCTTGAATTAATAACAGTCCTCCTGCTTCAGCCTCCAAATGCTGGGATTACAGGTATGTGCCACCATGTCTGATACACTTTTTTTTTTGTGGAACCGGCGATTGAATTCAGGCCCTTGTGCTTGCCAGGAAAACGCTTATTCCACTGAGCCATCTCCCCGGCCCCTGATTCACTTTTATGAATAAGAATTTTTTTTTTTAGAACCAGGGTTTGAACTCAGGACCTTGTGCTTGCCAGGCAGGTACTTATTTTACTGAGCCATCTCCCTGGCCCTGAGTAAGACTTTCGTGGCATCTTTCCCCGTGTTTGTGTGCATGGGTGTACATCTGAGCATGTGGTGTCAAGGGGCACATGCTGAGCAAGCGCTCCCCAACGGCCAGGCTCCAACCTGGCCTTGCTATATTTGGTGCTGCCCCTTCTGTGGGAAGTGCTTGTGTTTGTGTGAGTCTAGGTCTGTGTCTATTTCTAATTTGATCCTCTGCTTTTTAGTACTGATTTTTTAGTTATTCACAGATTCTGAATATGGGTTGTTAGTCACATATGTGAATTTTGAAACTTTTTTTTTCTTTTTTTCTTTTGGGGAAGGGCCTACAGGATGTTCAGGGTCTCACTACTAGATCCGACTCTTAGTGATCTGCCTATTTACAGCCTCCCGAGAGCTGGGATTGCAGGCGCGCACCGCCACGCCCAGTCTCAGTTGCCTTCTCTGTGTGCCCCAGGGCTGGGGCCAGCACGGCAGACCCAGACCGAGAGATCCAACTCCTGGACTCTGTGCCTGCTTGTAGGTGTCTTAATCCTCTGAGCTATCTGGCCAACCCTAAATTTTTTAATTTCGATCTCACTGCGCAGTTCAGATTCATAGTGACCCTCTTGTCTCAGCCTCCCCAGCACTGGGATTACAGGCATGAACCACCAGGCCTGGTTTCGATGACCAGCATGGTGCACCCAGGGTTCTGGGGCTGGCACAGCATGCAGTACCAGGGATGGGACTGGGTCCTTGCACTTGCCAGGCAGGCAGTTAGGTCACCAGCTATCTCCCCAGCCCCTGAAAATTTTCTTTCATCTAATTGTTAATGGTGTCTTCAGATTAAGAGAAGTTCATTTGTTGCTTATTTGTTTCTTTTCTCCAGGGCTAGAGATGGAAGTCACAGCTCTGCATGTGCCAGGCAGGTGCTGCACTGCTGAGCCACACACAGAGACAACTGCTCATCTTCCCCTCCCTGCACTGCTCAGAAAATGAGCCCAGCACTTTTGTAAGGAGCTACATCCCCAGTCTTTTTTTTAGACAGAGTCTCACTGAGTGGCCCAGGCTGGACTTGAATTTGTCATCTCCCTCCCTCAGCCTCCCAGACCTGGGTTTAGACAAAGACATACCCCCACACCTGGCAGCTGGTCATGCTAGCTGATGCTGTCAGGCCTCGAACTTGTTCTTGGAGATTGTTTTGGGTGTTCTTAGTGTCTCTTGATGAACAAGAATTCTTTTTTTCTTCGTATTTAGTACAGCGTGTACAGAGTCTCACTACATAGATGGGACTCATAGTGATTCTCCTGTTTTCAGCCTCCCAAGAGCTGCGGTTACAGGTGCATGCCACCACGTCCAGTCTCAGTCGCCATCTCAGTGCGCCCTGTGGGCAGGTGCCCAGGGATCGAGTCCCCGGCCCCTACATCTGTCAAAGCAGGCGCTTTAATCTGCTGAGCTAAGGGGCTGGGGAGATGGCTCAGTGAAATAAGCGCTTCCCTGGCAAGCGCAAGGGCCTGCGTTCAATTCCTGGTTCTGAAAAAAAAAAAAAGAAAAAAAAAAATGCTGAGCTATTTGGCTGGCCCCAGGAATTCTTAATTGTAATATAGACATTCCTGTGACTAGGTTGTTACCTGAACCGGCTGCTAAATAAAGAGTTGTGTATAGTGTGTGCATTCCAGTATTCAGCACAGAGAAACAGTCAAAGGGAGCTCCAACTTGCTGGCTGTACTTTGATTTGTATAACACATTAAGTACTGTGATGTATAACAGTGTAAAACTACAGTACTATGATGGATAGTATAATCAGCAAAAATCACAGTACTATACAAATAAAGTGTACTTTAGCACTCCAAAAAAAGACACTGAAGCTTTATTGCAAAGATGTACAGAACTGTATAACAAACAGTTCATAAGCCCAAACTGCACCTCAGTCATACGTTTGAACAGTCTTTAAACAGGTAGGTCACTAAATGAAAGATAGCTGTAGTTGTTTTTTTTTCTTTGTGTATTTGGTACAGGGTCTCAGTATGTGGTTCAGACTTGCAGTAATCCTCCTGTTTTCAGCCTCCCCAGCGCTGGGATTACAGGCATGCACCATTACGCCCAGACTCTGGCCAGCTCAGCCTGCTCTGGGGTAGGGTTGGTGCCAACATGCTGGGGATTGAATGGCCGTCCCTGTGCTTGCCTAAGCAAGTACTTTAGTCTGCTGAACTATTTTGCTGGCCCCCAAATTTTTGAGATAGGGTTTCATTAAATCAGTGTTACCCAACCTGGGCTTGAACTTTCAGTCTTCCTGCTTCAGCCTCCTAGACTGCTAGGATTATAGGTGTGTGCCATCACTCCTGGAAGCAGGTTTGGGATTTTTGTGTGTGTGTGGTGCTGGGGATCATCCTAGGGCCTTATGCATGCATGCATGCAAGGTGAGAGCTCTACCACTGAGCCACATTTCCAGCCTCTGGGCTGGTTTTTTTTTGCTGAACCAGGGATTGAACTCAGGCCCTTGCGCTTGCTAGGCAAGCACTTATTCTACTAGCTATCTCCCTGGCCCCAGGGGTGGTTTTTATTGTTAGGTTTTTTTTCTTATTAATGTCTCATTTTTCTTTTATTAGCATGCATATTGATGTTTTACTGTATGTTGGTCATTGTGGATGGAATGTATGAAGCCTCTTAATTCTGATATAGATTCTGATACCTTCTCTGAAGAGTGCTGATTTTCTTTCTTAGCAGATAGTTCGATCACTGCACCTGAATTTGGCTTGGCTCGGTTCATCCTCTGTTAGGGGAGATGTCTGTGGAAAGTCCACGACATTTCCTAAGTCTCTTAATGCTGAGCATCAACTCCAAACTGCATCCTTCGCAGATTTCATCAAGACCTGGTTTTGACTTTGTTAGGACGCATGGTGTCCAGTTCCAGATGGCCCTCAAGGTCCCAGCCTCTGCAGTTTCGTACACATAATGGGCAGGCCTGTGAGGTGTGAGCAGGAGTGTGTAGACCTGACAGTGGGTGATTTGAAAGGCAAGATCTCTCAAGAATTTACAGCTTCAGCCTTGCTTCCTTTTGGGTTTCTTCCCTGAGAGTTTCTGGCTACCTTGTCATGAGTACTCTAAAGCCCTTGTGAAAGACCCACGTCGGGAGGAAGCGAGGCTGCCCGCCAATGGGCAGGACCAGCTGAGGCACACACCCTGGCTTCATGTGCTTGGCTGCAGGCCCGGGAGGCATCTTGCCTGCAGCTTCCCAGGAGACCTTGTGCTAATGCCAGACATCTCCAGCTTGACCACTCCATAATCTTGTATTTTTCTTTTTTAAAATTTTTTGGAGACAGGGTCTTACCATGTAGTCTAGGCTGGGCTTGAACTCACTATGTGGCCTCAAACTTATGTCAATTCTCCTACCTCAGCTTCCCAGGGCTGGAATTACATGTGTGTGCCAACACCTTCAACCCACCCCAATCTCTTTTTTTTGTAGCAGGAACTAAACTGAGGATCTTGTGCTTGCCAAGCAGGCACTTGTGCTGCAAGCTATTTCCTCAGCCCTCTCCTCATTTTTTTTTTTTTTTTTGTACAGGGTCTCACTATGCAGATTGGATTCATAGTGATCCTCCTGTTTTCAGCCTCCCCAGTGCTGGGGTTACAGGCATGTGCCACCATGCCAGGAATCAGTGGTTGACTCAGCATGTCTGGGGGCAGGGCTGGCACAGCATGTGGTATTGGAGATCGAACCTAGGTCTCGTGTTTGCCTAAGGAGACTCTTCTCCCCAATTCCTTTTTTTGTTTTTTGTTTTTTTTTTTTGCGGAACTAGGGATTAAACTCAGGCCCTTGCAGGCAAGCACATATTCTACTGAGCTATCTCTCCACCCCCCGCTCCCCAATTCCTAACCAAAAAAGTTGCATGCCATTTTCAATGTTGTGGTAGTACTGAAACACTAAATTTTTTTTTAAATTTTATTCATTTATTTGTGTGTGTGTGTGTGTGTGTGTGTGTGTGTGTGTGTGTG